ATATAAATGTACTATCAGAACATCTGCAGTGTTCCCCGTAGCTTGCTTACCTTAGCAGGGCACTCAAATCTTCCATGATTTTTGTCTTAGTGTGTGGAGATGGATCGGCATGAGGAAAATGGAGCGCTACCTCTGTAGCTTTTTAGCTAGCATGTCTGTATTGCGTGCAGCTAGCTTAGCACTACGTCAGTTCCGGCAAATAATGGGGAGTGGGTCAAGAGGAAGGGCGCTCAGTTCTGTTGACAGGGAAGTGTGCCCTTTTTTTAATGGTAGGGGAAACACTGATCTGTGTTGCTAAGCAACATCACGTCACTTCATTTTCCATAAAACAGCTCCGCCCCCTTTCAGTGGAAAACGTGGCGTGAAACTGCCCTCGTGGATGGACCCTAAAGTTTTTCAGCGTACACGTTAGCCTGACTTCTCACTTCTCTCTCTGATCTGAGTTGTTTGTGTTTATTTATGTTCTGTCACTCTTGTTGTTATTTGTGTTTTGATTTGATCACTTCTTTGTGTTTTCCCCTGGGTGTTATTCCTCAGTCAGTTTTCTGCACCGCACACTCAACCTGCCACACCCACAAGTGTTGCCAGATAGTTACAGTTATTGCATTAATATGCAATAGTTTTAGAGTCAATGTGGTACACAAGAAATGTTTTTTTTAAAAGGAACAAATATGCACAAGTTTGGTATTTTCTGTGCACCTTTATTCACACAAACTACCGGTTTGACTGAGACAGTTTGTTGTTTCCTGTCTGGCAACCCTGAAGCCCACTCTCACCTGTTCCAAGTCTGCTCAGCCCAGGTGTGTCCTCATCAACCTGTTTGTTATATCATGTTCTCTTTGCTTGTTAGCTTTTTTAGGTGTTTTTGCCTTAAAACATGTTTTATTTTTATAGCTCCTTGGGCCAGTCTATATTCTGGATTCAAACTGAGACTTGGCTTACAGCTATCTACTGCAGGCAAGACGCTTACTGCTCCACTCCCAAATAAATGAACTAAACTGATCCTTGGAGCGATGGATTTATGAGCAATTTGGAGCGTTTTGCTGACTCGGTGAGCGTCTCTCAGACAGACAGGCAGGAATCTTAAAGACAAACCGTCTTTAATCCAACTGAAGTACATTTGGAGGATTACCTTTGATTGTAGGACACAGAGGAAGCGTACACAACGACATCTCCCCTCGATAACCCAGCAGTAAAGTTTAAAGGTTGTGCGTGTCTGTGTGCAGCCAGCTCTCCTCTGCTTCTCACTGCAGGAAGTTTGCCGTCTGACTTGCTCTTGTTTGGATCCGACACAAGAAAACACAGAGGAGGAAGAAACGAGGCCTCCCGTCCCTTAATTATTTAAATCAAACAATTATCTGCAGCTGTCCTGGGAGAAGCTCCTTTATCCGCTCATCCAAAACAGCAGCAGCAGCAGCAGCATGCAGGGAGGAGTGAGGAGGACGACGTGGCTCAGGGAGGACCGGCAGTTTCTCTAGTTTTTAATTATTAAAACAATTATTTTGGACCGACTCTGCAGCTCAGGTGCTCGGACCAGGACCCCCAGGTGAACACAGTCCTCTGGTTTGCATTAAAGACGTAAATAACATTAAAGAAGTCAGAACGTTGCTTTATTGTGTTCCAGAAATAAAATGAGGTGATTTTAATGGGTCAAGATGAAAATCATTGAAGAAAAGGTGAATATGATCAATTTAAATCTTATCATCGTGTGTTTGTAACTCTTCTAATTGTTGCTCCGTGGACATTTGCATTCCGTCAGTTTGTTTCAGGAAAACTTGATCCACTGTTCACATTGATTACACGCTCAATTATCTATAATTTATAGGCCTCGACTGGAGAGCCGCGCCGACATTAAACTTTGATGAAGCCATGTACTACATTCTTTGTTATAGAGCAGCAGCCACCGTCCGCTCAGAACAGAAAGAAAATTAAAGAAAGTATTACAAACGCATTAATCTGAGAGTTTATTTTTCATTTGCTCCCATTTTAAAGTAAATTATTTTTAAAAAAAGTGAAATTTTAGTTTAAAAAATACGTAAACCTATATTTATCTTTTGTTTTTGATAAATATAAAAACAAAAGTTTGATACGTTCAATAAAGGATTAATAGGAAAGTGCTCTTCTCTTTGTATATTTTTGTTTGGTTTACGCTTTATTTACTAGTTTTTATCTTTCTGTAACATGTAAACAACATGATTCTTATTATTATTGATTTGTTATAGTTCTATTTTAATTATTCATCTGATACGTGAAAGTTGGTTTGATTTAAACGTTTTAGTGGAAATAAATGTGTCGGTTTTGTAAATAAAAATTGCAGCAGTTCTTTAAAAAATTTCAGGTCAAACAAAAAAAAAATTTATTTATTTATTTTTATTCACTTTTAAAATTAAAATGACATTTTTCACCTGCAGGGTGACACCAGGAGGAACGTTCATGTTTTGTTCATTTATTTCAGTTTTGCTGATGCCACCCTGTGGGCCGGGCCCCTGCTGGTCCCCGGGCCCTCGTTTAGGGTCCCCCTGCTGTATTGGGTTGCTCTCTGAGGGCCCCGGGCCCCGAGCTGCTGCTCCACAACAAACAAACGCAGCTTCTTAACCAACACACGCAGAAATCAATAGTATCATAAGAGCTGATATTTATTATTCATTAATAACGTGTTGTTGGACCCAAACCACCGGAGAAACCAGAGAACAGAAACAAAACATGTATTTAAATAAATATGTCCGCTGTCGTTTATTAAAACATTTATTGTCTGGACTTTAATAAAAGATTTTATCCTGTAAAACTTATGTTTAATATATGAATATTTTTTAGAGACGATCATTTGTTTATTAATTTTAAAGCATCAGAATATTGTGAGTTCTTCCAGGTTTTAACTGCATTAATGTTTTTATTTTTTATTTTGAAAAACTTGATTTGTTAACATAATTTTTTTTTTTTATATTAATCGATTTTGTTTTATGCTTGATTATCATAAAACAAGTTTGTTTATGTTGCAGGACACCTCAAGTGAAAGACATGGATTTTTTTTTTAACACCAAAAGCAACACCAGAAACATACAAGTTATCATTATTATTGTTGTTATTATTATTATAATTATTATTATTATTATTATTATTATTATTATTATTATTATTATTATTATTATTATTA